GCAGAACAAGAAGGAATGGATGGAAACTAATCAAGGAGAGAAGCAACCTAGAACTAAGGAGTAATTTCCTAACAGTTAGAACAATTAATCAGTGGAACAACTTGCCTCCAAAAGTTGTAAATGCTCCAACACTGGAAGTTTTTAAGATGTTGGATAACCATTTGTCTGAATTGGTGTAGGGTTTTCTGCCTAAGCAGGGGGTTGGACTAGAAGACCTCCAAGGTCCCTTCCAACTCTGTTATTCTAAAAGTAAGTAAGTAAGTAAGTAAGTAAGTAAGTAAGTAAGTAAGTAAATAAACAAACCATTCTGAGAGAGAAATGTGAATGCATTTGGGTAATCCATGTGCAAAAGGAGCTGGCAAGATTTATTTATCCCAAGTGATGTAAGAACTTAGTATGAGAAAACTTAACGTATCATAACTATCATCTGGGTATTCTCTTTTAATGATGCATTCGTTTTCACAGTTAAGAAGTCAGATGATTCTGAGGGCTGATAAAAGTCAAAGCCTCCGAAAATGATTTAATGGAGACTTGAAGGATTTATCTTCATAACAAGGAAATGAAATCACCCAGGGAGGCTGGGCAGGTAATTGTATGTCAGGGGGAAAAATCTACGATAGGCAACAACTGAGTTTACCTGAAAGGATATTTATGGAAAGAGATCCAGTTTTTCTTAACGAACTGTAGTTCATTTTAGGTGATGAAGTACAGGTCAGGACCTGCTTTCTTTACGAGGTTTTCTTTTGTCAGATTTAAGTTTTCCCAACTCATTTGCCCATGCTTATAGAGCTATCTTTTTTCCAGACTGTAGAGAGATAGTTCTAGCAGACCTCTAGAAAATCTTCTAGTGGAAATACTTAAAATCAGTCTACATTGTGTTTATTGTTGGTTCTGTTTTCTGCCAAGAAACAAATACTTACTCATGAGATAACCAGATTACCTTTCAAACGTGTTATCTTGCCTTGCCAAATGTTCTCTTTATAGATACTTGCCTTAGGGAGTTGTATGTCATATTTTTGGAGCCATTCAAGCATAATTAGGTGTGTAATGTTGGCTGCTATCTTTGTGGGTGACAATTAGAGCAACTTTCAGTCTATCAGATGTGTTGATAACCTTGTTAGATTCCTCCTTGGGCTGGATTGTGGACCGAAGGAGAGAAATAAGTGGCTAAAAGGTCACCACAGTTATAAGGAGTAGCTATTTTAATTTTACCACCTGTGTCCCTTCCTGGAAAAATATGATTCAACCACTATTATTCAGCTACCAATTTGAACATTGTAAGTCATGTCACTTGGGTTTGCCCTTGAGGAAACTTCAGAAATAGTAATGGTAGGAAAAGGGGGCAGCTGAACTTCTGTCAGATGTTTACCAGCAGGAGCATATCTCTGGTGTACTTACCTTAGTTGTCCATATCACGGTCCTTGTTATATATAATTTTCTACATGGTGTGAGATCTGCCTTCCTGAAAGTATCCCAAGATACTTTGGTATCTTAGGGCCTCCAATTTTGGTTTATTATAGTTGCTGACTTGGAAGAAAGATCAGCTGGAATCTACTGGAGAAAGTCCTTCTTAGGGATGGCCCTAGCTATGTGAAGCTCCCTTCCATTTGAAATTTGGATCACTCAAAAATAAATATTTCAGGGACAAGTACTATGATGCTCATGGGAACCAATTTGCCCATAAACTCTTCTCTTTTAAAAAAAAGTCTTTTGAATTTAAAAAAACAATAAATGGGAAGCTAGCACCATCAGCTTCTGGCTTTATCTTTAGACCCAAGAATATCCTTAGACCTCTTGTGAATGGATGGATGGATGGATAGGTATCTGCAACCCAATGAACCCTAAAGAAGCTGGCAGAAAATAGCCAATGGCTTTTTTATCTGAACGTATTCCATCTACCATGGAAGCTATTTTGTGAAAATACAATCCCGTTGTTTAGTGAGAGCATCACAACTACTCTGAAAATTCTACACATGGGAGTTGTCAGATGCAAAACCAAGCCTAAGGTGTTGAGATGGCTATATTAAGAAGCTTAATTTCTTCTTTCCTCTACTTCTCCCAATGTAAAACCCAAAATCTCAAATTAAGTGGACATTTTATCTTTCCTCATACTTACACAGGGTGTTAGATCCAGACAGTCTTATAGGCTGTGGATCCCCTGCACTCACAAATAACATATCCCATTGATTTCAGTTGATCTTTTCCAAGTATGAATATCCTGGATCTGATCCATCAGGTTTATAACTTCTTTACAGGAGATTGTTCTCCCTTGGTTAACATCCGCACTTCTTTCAGTTTTTAAAAGTATAGTTATCTATCTACTTTTGGCCTGTTATTTTATATATACATATATTATAATTAACACTATAATCTGGATAATAGATCTTTCAGTACCTGGAGACAACAGAATAAAAGACAAGAGAAGCACAAGTTTCAAAGTCCTGCAAATAGAAGTAGAATCACTGTGGCAGAAGAAAGTAAAGATATTACAAAACATAAAGATAATAGATGGCAAATATGATGAAGCAAGACGGTTTTACTCTCTCTTGTCAAAGGCCTGGGCAAAGATTGTCTGTCTATCTACATGGCCTTAGGTATCTTGGAGCCAGATTTTAAAAGTACTAATGATTTAGGCACAATTTAAAAGATTATAAGGCTTCGGTTGTTAAAATGTTCACAGGAATGAAGATTTTACAGTTTCAAGAAATAATTGTTACATTTCCACATTTTCAAGAACTAGTTATTATGTTAATAGTTATAGAAAGGTATGTCTTTCAAGACAGAACATTCTGCAATAATCATCTTAATTGAGGTGAAAGATTTAACTTGGATTGCCAATTAGAGATCTTTGGTGGTAATGATAGTTTGAAATTCAAGACTTGAGACGCTTGGCCTTCTAAGAAGAGGCTGACCCTCTATTGTAGAATTAGCAATCTTTTTTTTTTTTTTTCTTGCAACATGAGAGCAAGATCAGTGAATACTATTCAACAATGGCAGGAGACCACTGGTATATTTTAGCAGTATCTCACATTCACTCACTCATTCAGCGCATACATACCAATTATTAAACTCTCCTTGATGGCCAAGGTACAGTAGGGTGTGAAAAATCCCCTTGGACCAATCTCAGAAGTGATTTTTGATGGACTAGAAGATGGGACTTCAAACTTCTCTTCTCTCCAGCTTTTTAATAGGCAATGGTGGCTTTACTTGGCTGAATTATTTATATCCTCAACATCATTCATACAATGTTCATAGTCATTCAATAAGTAGTCTGGTTAGAGCTCAAGATGTTGCTTGCCATGACTGTACTATGACAGAAGGCAAAATTCTGATATTGATATATTTGGAGATATTCCTGTACAATTCTTATTTTTACAATTCAGATCTCTTTTCTAGTGATCACAACTTTTCAATGTTTAGCATCTGGCCACTAACTTATCCTGTAAAAGCTTGCTCCCTGTCCATATTTTATGTTGTGCTGACATCAGAATGGGAGGGAATTATTCTAAACCTGTGATGGCAAATCTATGGCACGCATGCTGGAAGTGGCACGCAAAGCCATTTTTCTGGGCACGCAAGCTGTCGCCCAACTCACCTGCAGCTGCGCTTGCCCACGTGTCCCAGCTGGTGTTCGGGCCTCTGGTGCGCATGCATGCAATTCAGGGGACCCAACTGGTCTTCGGAGCTTTCCTGTGCATGCGTGCGTGTTTGCGCATGTGTGCGAGAGTACTGGTGTGCAGCATGCGCAGACAGCATTTGTGCGTGTGAAAGCCATGCACATGTGCAGATTGTGCGATTGTGCACTCAGCGCATGGTGTGGGGCGCGCACAAAAGCTGTGCATGCGCAGATGGGGTGGTTGCATGCGTAGTGTACAGTGGGGATACATGCAAAAGCTGTGCACATGCGCAGATGGTGTGGTTACGCACGCAGCGCATGTGGGAGGAGCCGCACATTAGCACAGATGGCACACGCGCACGCAAAGCGTGCATCTGTTCGGCACTTGGTGAGTAAAAGGTTCGCCACCACTGTACTAAACCATAGTTTGTTTTATCATAGTTTGCTAAAAAAACCCAACAACACTAATAATGCTAGGTTCACATAATGTGCTAAGCCAGTTTCCAAAGCACAGTGGGTTACGGCACAGTAATGCCAAAATGAAGAAAACTATATCCTGGCTTGATAGGTTGTGAAATGAAATATAACATACCCATAATTAAGTATTACACCAGCAGCATCCAGAGCGAGGAACGATCCCTTCTGCAAGATGGTGGGTATGGCATTGTAGTCAAGACCTCTTTCCTGTGGGCATCAGACTACGCTGTACTGTTTGTTTGGAAACTTTAGCCACAGCCGTGGAATCAACAGGAGCTGTCTGTACATCATAAACACCCCTATTATAAATGGAATTTCCTGGGACCTGGTCTCGCTGCACCGCTTAGTCTGTTGCACTTTTCATGATGGTTTTTAATTACATACTCTTAAAGAGAACTTTCAGTCTTCCGACAGATTTTATCTGCTGATTATTTTCACAAATTGTTACAGAAAAAGCCTTCAGGGCTGCAGTGTAGGTGGAGGCTCAGTTACCCAGTCATAGATTGGATGCCAAGGAGCAGCGTCTTAACCTATGCTTACAAAGGCAGGTGCTGACAGTTCCATCTCGCCAAGGGAAACATGCTCACATTCTGGAGACTAACCGAGAAGACGGTAAAGAAACAATCTTGGCGCGTTAGACAGAAAACAGCTAGTGTTTTTCTCTCGCTTTGACCCTTACGTCAAACAGATTTCTGCTTCTGTCAAATGGGCTTCCTCGTAAGGAAGGTTGCCTCTCTCTCTCTCTCTCTCTCTGTGTGTGTGTGTGTGTGTGCGTGTGTTGCATGCATCTCCAGCTGTTGAGTAATTATTGCTGCTGAGAATATTTGGTGTGTTTCTTGCTAAAAGCAAATATGTCCCAACCAAAATTCAAAACATTGTACTGCAGCCCTCCTTTTCTAACATTTAGGTTCATCAATACTACAGCTGTCTACCAGAAGACAAAGTACCTTATGTCAACAGCCCTGGAGAGAAAGCCCGTATCAAACAGCTTCTGCACCAGCTGCCTCCACATGACAATGAGGTAAGTCATTCAGAAATCAACGAAGAAATACTGGAGCACACCTAGCGGGGGACAGGCCATCATTCTGATGTTTGGGTTGTGTGTACCAGCCAACTAGCCAGCTCACTGAGTCCTTTGGCAGAGGATTTGTTAAAGGTTTATTTTGCGAAACCCTTGGCGGTTTTGGGTGGGGTGTTAAAAAAATATGGAAGAAGTTCCCACTCTCTATAGCTGCTTTTAGTTAGATGAAAAGGCCCCAAATCCTCACGTTTCAGTCAAAAAATGCATGTTTGTTTAGTGCCTCTTCGAATTGATGTATAAATAGTTCATGCTTTAACTTTATATGTTTTGAATTTCAACTCCAGTCCAGTTCATAAATAAATTATATCAATTTCAATAACACTTTGAAGATCTAAAGGTACTATCTTATTTACATGAAGTAGTGTGTGTTCTTAGGAAAGCTTTTTTAAAGTAAGAATAGTTCACAACTTCTGAAATAAAAAGTTGAAGAAGAATCTACAACTTTTGGAATGAGACTCAGTAGAGATATTGAGTTGACCTTGATGTTAATGGGACACATCTGTATTATAGGAAATGTTTTGCCAGCATATAGCATATTTACTCAGGTTTTCTAAAAATTATATGGGATCAATTAGCCTGTTCTACTACAGTTGCTAGACTTCCACTTTTCCTACTTTTGTATTAAATTGGGCAATTGAGAAAAAGCACATACTTATACCAACAGTCATATTTCTCCTTTTAGTTGTATATGGCTTCACCCTCAGGGCACATTAAAACAGGCGGCTTGTGCTATTTCTGCAACACACAACTGTGAGCGCCAGTGCAAAGAAAGGCCCAAAAGACATAACAATAAGTGGGTGAGGAAATACAGAGCAATTTTAATGGAAATAAAAAACTTGTTTGGGAAGTTGATGATGCCTCCAGCAGAGGGAATTTAATTAAAAATAAAAAGGATAAAATTATTTGGGGTCAAACCTAAATGAGGGAATGCTGGAAGGAATATTTTACTTTTGTATGGGAATGATGAATAGGGGAAATTAAATGAATGTCATGAAAATGATGGGTGGGGAGCCATAAATGCTGTTAGTATGTTGAAATGCTGGGTGGGGTATTCTGGAAGTTAAAGTCCACATATCTTAAAAGTTGCTAAGATTGAGAAATACAGAAATATGGTAAGATGGTTCAGTTAGAGAAAGGGTTGCACATCTACAACGGATGAGGTCGGCATATGGAGTCACAGTGCGATTTGTTTAATGTGTTTGCATGATGCATCTCTGCCTGAAGAGTAGAAGGACACTGTTATTGTTTCCCCAATATAAAAAGAAAACCTAGCAAGAATGAATACAGAAATATGAAAGGGTTTTTGCTTGTCTGGGAATGTGCTTGACAGATTGAAAATGTACCACAGATACATTGAGCAAAATGTCAGGAGTGCATTGAGGCTTTATGCCAGGCAGGGCGTGTGCAGACCAGAGTTTTCCCTCTTTTATAGGTCATAGAAAAACACGAATGTAAAATAGTAGGCTTAGAAAAAGTGTTTGCTGAAGTGGAGAGGCCTGAATTAAGGAGTATTTTGGGTAAATACAGAGTTGAAGATTGGTTGTTGGATGCAGTAAGAATGGGATTATATAGGAGAGAAATAAAGTATGTGTAAAAATAAAGGAAATGCTCAGTGGTTTGGCATGTCTGATGACTTCTTTAGTATTTTTGGGGAATGCTTGTTCTAATGTTAGAAGTGCCCTGGTCAAAATGTATATACTCTATATTTGTATGGAGGTTAATGCTGTATTTTTGGTTGAGATCTCACAAAATTGCCAGGGATAACATGAAGGGCATGTGCACATGGACGTATGTATCTAATTGCATAATTCTATAGGTGACAATATGGGACTTTTTTTCTCAACAGCAGACAAGGCATTTTTTTTCTAAAGGCAGAAGGGAAGAAAAGAGTTATTAAATTTCATTTTATTTTCTGAACTGGTGCTCTTAATCGTCAGGCCTGTCAGTAGATGGACTGTGTGCTTTTAAAGATCTGCATGTTAATGTTACATGCAGATGTGGAAGATGAAGTTGAAGTTATCCAAAAGATGGTAGAAACTGAGATGTTCTCGGAACCCATCCGTTCAATAAAAGTGTATAAAATAGCTCAGTCATGAAGGACTGAAAGCCACATGAGTATAGCATGGATTGATGGCTGATAGCAAAATACTTGGATTTCTTCTCTTCAGCAGGACGGTTAGAAAGGATTAATTGGAAGAGAAATCAGAAAGAAACCTCCTTGTTCGACGTAGAAACTAATGTGGGTCTTCCTTTTTCTAATTCTTAGTCCCACTGCATCTTGTGGGAAACTGTTGCACAGTGGATTCAACTTTTCCTATGAACTGGTAGCCATCTCAGGCAGCTTGCAAAGTGAAGCAACCATTCATTCAGACAGAAATTCAGAAACATCTCTTTCAAATGATTGCTTCCATCTGAATCGAAAGTTGTCCTCTTCCTGTTGATTTGGTCACTGAACATGATGACATCAATATTTCCACCTAAGGGAAGTAATGGAAAGGAGGTGTAGGGGGAATAAACAGGAGATTTGGCCAAAGAATTAAGCCCACTACCAAAGTACCAGTGTCCACCCCACACAATTGCTGTTTTATCTCACTTTCCTCCAAGAAACATAAGTGATTGCTCTCCCCTCCTCCTATCTTCATGATAACCCATTAGCTGATTTAGCTGAAACGAAGAGATAGTGGATGACCTAAAATAAATAGGTGAGCTTCATGGAAAGAATGGATTTTAAGCTTAGTTTTTCCCGCCCTAAGATGGGGTTCTAATCATTACTCAAAAGGTTAGGGATCTGTAATAGGCAGCTGTTGCCTTGGCCATAGCATTTAAGAGCTTAATTTAACCCTGTGTCCTATTAAGAATATCATATGTTGCTGGAATTTTGAGAGTTACTACAGAAATTGAAGCTCAAAGCATCTCTAGGGTCATAATCATTAACATCTTTTTTGGGGGGCAAAAAGGCCTTATCATTATTAAAAGATAAAGAGATACTGCGGATAGGGCAGAGAAAAATCTTGAAATCACACAGAAGAGAGAGGATAAGATAAGAGAGGTTTTAAAGATCACAACTCTTTTCCAATTATGAAACAGGGATAGTATGATTTTTTTTTATATTAAAACTGTGACCTGCATATCCCATTTAACTGAAGCCCTAGAACCAGTGGTGAAATCTGAACCAGTTTCCTACAGGTTCGCTGGCCGCACATTCGCAGTTCGCACCAAACGCACACTGCGCGTGTATGCACACTTCACACCAAAAGGAGGCTTGGGAAGATAAGTAGAACAGTGGGGGGGGGGTAGAATCAGCTGTGGCGCACGATCTTGGGAACCTTTTTAAAAAACTTTTTTAAAGCATTTTTTACTACTGGTTCAGGTGAATAGATAGTAAAATGCTTTAAAAAAGTAAAAAAAAAAAAAAAAGGCTTGGATGATCACAGCTGTGCCACGCAATTGTCCGAGCCTTTTTTTTTATTTTTTTAAAGCATTTTTTACTACCTATTCGCCCGAACAGGTAATAAAAAAATGCTTAAAAAGTTAAAAAAAAAAAAAGTTCTGACGAGCTGAGCGACGTGCGATCATCGGAACTTTTTTTTTTTTTTTTACTTTTCAAAGCATTTTTAACTACCGGTTCCGGAGAACCAGTAGCATTTTTTACCACCAGTTCGGTTGAATCAGCCCGAACCGGTAGTATTTCACCCTTGCCTAGAACTAATGATACATTTTCAAAACCAAGATTTAGAAATGGTTCTCATCACTTAGACATTTAATTGCACCTTCTTTCAAAATGTCAATCCACTCTCAGCATTCGGTGAACTCCTTAAATATTCCGGTTAGGAAATAAAGACATAATTTATTTTAAAATGATTTGAGTATAACATTTTCTGGACACTCAAAAGCACCTCAAAAGCATTAAAAAACATTGTTCCTACATTACAAAGAGATATGCAGCCCGAAGTTCCAAAATAGCAAATAGCCTCTGAAAATCTTGGGTGCATCCATTAGAAATCTTTAGAAAATCTTTCCAAATTATAATTTTATAATTTCCAAGTTATAATTTTATACTGTCAAAAGTGACCTTCCTGTTTTGGTGCGGCAGTTAATAACATTGGGCTAGAAATTAAGTTCTAGTCCCACCTTAGGCACAAGCAGAGGTGATATTCAGCTGGTTCGTACCGGTTTGGGCGAATTGGTAGCGGAGACTGCAGGTGCACCCTTCCACCCGTCCAGATGTAATGCCGTCCTATTTTGCCACGTTTTTGAGGCCAGGAGTATGTGTGGAAGGTTGGGTGCATGCGTAGAATATTGGAAACCAACCGCTGGGTACAAAGCAAACTGGATGACTTTGGGTCAGTCCTCTCTCAGGCCTTTGAAGAAAATAATGGCAAATCTGAAACTCTTGCCAAGAAACCTGCAAGCACTTCTCCAAGCAGTTGTCAGGAGACAAGACTGCTTGGAAGGCATAAAAAAAGGAAGAGAAAACTATTAAATATATTACCAGATATAAATTATTATCATCATCATCAATCATTTTAGCCATTGTCTATCCACTGCAGGATGAAGGTCTCTTCCGCATGTTTCCAACCTATACCAAGTTGGTGCTCACACTTAATGATCACAAAGATAGACCTTCTTTGGGATAATATGTCCCCAACTTGGACCTTCAGATCTCTAAATGGTGTCCTCATTACTGTTGCAATTGAGTTCACCCACCTTGCTGTTAGTCATTCTCTTCTCTTAATTTCCAGCTTTCCTAGCTTCTGAAAAATTCTGAGTCTTTGTGTAATGTGCCTAACGTGATAACTTGAGTCTGATTATTTGTGTCTGAAATGAAACTCTGGCTAGATTTGGTCTCTGAGCCATATGTTTGCTTTCTTGGCTGTCTATGGTATTCTCAATGCCTTGTCTGACCCTAACATACCTTTTCTATCGTGCTTCTTCAAATACAACTTTTGTTTCCCTAGAATATCACAGGGAAAACCATTCAGCACATTGCTGAATATTTTTTTACAAGCCTTTGTTAGTACTTTACCAAGTGCTTGCCCGAAGCATATTTCTTCCCTGTTGGTTCCTTTACAGATGATAGTCAGTCCTAAAAAGCAGACACTATCCTCCACTTAAGTTTCTTCATTGTCTTGAAATAAATAAGGAGGGAATTCCTTACTGTGAGAAGTTGAACAGCCAGCCTCTTGAAGTTTTGAGTGTCCCATCACTGGAGGTTTTCAAAGATTGGACAGCCATTTGTCTGGGGTGGTCTAAGGTTCCTGCCGGGGGTAGGAGGTTTGACTACAAGACTTCCAAGACTCCTTTCAACGCTAAGGTTCTATGTTACTTAATTGCCCCACTGTGCTGCTTGATTTTAATTACTAGAGCTTGCAGACAGGCATCAGCATAGTGCTGTTTATTTATGATTTTATGCCATTTAATTGTCCTACTGTGCTGCTTGATTTTAATTACCTGAGCTTGCAGACAGAGTAGTAGCATCAGCATAGTTCAGGTTATTTATGTTTTTTCCCCTGCAATTTTAAAATTACACTCACCTTCTAACAATCTAGCCTCTTTCAAAATATATTCATTATATAGATTGAATGAATAAGGAGAGGGTAGCCAGCTTTGTCTCACTAAGTCCAGCTGTTTTCACAAGTTTCTTCTTAACTATGGTTCCTATCCTGTCTATAGGTTTTCAAGAGGACAATGACATGTTCTGAGACTAAGAACATTCCACTTTGTCACAATAGACTCAATCAAAGGCCTTTCTGCGCTCAAATAGGCACATATTGACATATTTATAATATTCTTTGGATTACTCAATGTTCTAGCGTGCATCAGCAATAATGCCTCTTGTCCCTCAATCTCATCTAAAATAATATCTCATTTTCCATGATGATCTTCCATGAACAGTTATCTAATAACTGTTGGATGATCCTAAGTGTTATCTTGCTTGCATACCAAATTGAGGATATTGTACAATAGTTTGCACAGTGTTAAGTCTTTATTGGTTTTGGTTTGTAGATTAAGCTCTTCCAATCTGTGGTTCATTTTATCATTTTCCAAATTTGATGGAATAATTTGGTTAGAACCGTCATTTACTTATATCGCTTGCCATATTTCTGTAGATATTCCATCAATTCCTGTCATCTACCAACATGGTCAAACTGGAGTAATGATTTAACTTCATCTTTTAGGACTGGAAATTCTTATAAATAGGGAATATTTTCCAGGCTCACTTGGTTAACATTGTATAGAATTTCAGTTCTTTTCTTTTTGTTGAATCAGTTGCTGTCTGTCCATTAGCATATTTTAGCAAAGCAATATGAGATTGGTATCTCGATCTGAGCTTGGAGAAATTTTGGAAAACTTCCCTTATTTTTCCATGTCGAGCTCCAGCTTTGATGTCTTTACAGATGTCATTGTAATACTGCTTCTTGTGTCTTCTAACAGCTCTCTGAATTTTTTAGTTACCATATATACTTGCAGATCAGCCAATAATTTTAGGATCCAAAATACATCCAAGGGTTTATCCATGAGTATATACAATAGTATTTTTAAAGACTTAGATATAGTCACAACATAGATCGGCAGATAAGCTGATTCTTAATTTTTATTTTTGTATGTTAGTTTTTAGAACTGGTGTCTCTGACACTATATTATCAATTACTTTATATTGTCTACCTATATGGTTTTCTTGATAAACAAAATACAGGAGCGACTTATCATGGTCTTCTCCTGCGCAGTATGAAATTATGATTTTGCTATTGTCAGTAAAGTAATAATCCACCTCCATCATCTTCCTATTTTGCTGCTGCTCAATCTAGGTACCTGCTTGCCTTAGTTGGGCGGCAAAGATGACCTTAGGTGACCCTAAGTGTGTGCTCTTGGCATTTACCCACATCCTGTCATGATGAAAAAACAAACAGGATGGAGTAGTGGTGGGCAGTATATAAAATATATGCACTTTAAATTCAGTGTAAATACAAATCATTTTAGTTTTCTTTCTTAGTCCTTTCAACTTTGGGTCATGGGCTCAAACACTGTTTTTTTAGTATTGGACATGATCCCTAAAAATCAAGAGCAGCATTCAGCTCAGGGGAAGTTATAGATCCATGATGAGGTCACAAAAGAAAATTGAGGTTGATGTCCCTTAATTCTGAATCCCACGGATTTTTCATGAAAGGTTTTTGTTTCTATATTTCACTGCTGTTTCAGAAAGTAGTGAATTTGTTGCAATATTTAATTAATTAATTAATTAATTAATTAATTAGGCTTATATGCTGCCCTATCTCCAACAGACTCAGGGCAGTTCACAACAATAAAAACCACAATCCATAATGCAAGTTAAAATGCCTAATTAAATCAGATACAATTAAAAACCCGTAAAAAACCCCATCAGTCCAGGCCGGGGGACTCGAATAACCAAGTTTTTAATTCGCGGCGAAAGATGCGAAGGTCAGGGGCCAGCCAAAGCCCCAAGGGAAGTTGATTCCAGAGGGTGGGTGCGCCCACAGAGAAGGCTCTACCCCTGGGGGCCGCCAGCCGACATTGTCTCGACGACGGCACCCTGAGCAGGCCCTCCCTATGGGCGCGAACCGGGCGATGGGATGTTGTTGCTGGCTGCAGGTGGTCCGCCTAATATCCTGGGCCTAAGCCATGTAGGGCTTTATAGGTCATCATCAGCACCTTGAATCTCACCCGGAGTGCAACCAGTAACCAATGCAGGTCGCGCAGGAGGGGTGTTACATGGGAGTATCGGGATTCTCCCATCACAACCCACGTGGCCGCATTTTGCACCAGCTGAAGCCTCCGAGTGGTCCTCAAGGGCAGCCCCAATATGTCCTCCCAAATGTTCCTACACATGCACACAAACACATACACACAAACAGCATTGAACACTTGTGGGTCTCCGGCATTGTGAAGCTAAATTATGGCTCAGCAATTACCATTTGTGGCATGGAATTTTGATTTTGGATTTTGTTTAATATCTCTTTTACTATAGAAAAATCTTCATAGGAAGTAGCTTAATGGAAACTTTGATATCAAAATGAAAGAAACTCAGAAAAACATTCTCTAAAATAAGCTTTACTCTCGGTTTTCAATGGCTCCTTTGTTCATTTTATATTTTTTTGATGTTTCCACATAGTTTTGGATTAGGGTTAGGGTATTTTAATGTACAAATAGAATAATTTTAATTGCTTTGCCATTATATAATTACAGAAAATGGAATGCATGATATAGTCAATATGAAAGCTGCATTCACTATCATATTTTCAGACTTGCCTGGAAAGAAAATCCTCAGTTTAAGCAGGGATGTCTCAACATTTTCTAGAAAAATTGCATTCGGATTTTTAGTAGTATGGCTGGGATTTCACTTCTGCGTGGGCCACAATAAAAATTAAGTATTCTTTCGTTTAGTTTACATGCGCATTAACTATATGTTAACTATATTAAAATAATTACTCTACACTTATGAATGCAATAAACTCCTTTGGTCACGTTAAAACTTGCAGTTAGAGACCACCTGAAATCATAAATGAAGTCATGATTTCATTGGTGTCAGGATAGGCAAGACATAAATCAACCACATTTTGTCAGGCGTAAAAGATCAGCTCCACACGTGAAGGTCCAATTAAACTGATTTATTGCTACTCATGCTTATGCAGAAGATTATTCTCAAGTAACAGTTAGCACCTGCTTGTAGTTAGAAAAAGGTCAACGGAATTCAGGGGGGAGTTGACTTAGTTCCATTGTGGCTACGTAGGGATTCTAGGCTCATCCTTCATTTAACTCCACTCCCAGCTTTTGCCACTCCTTCTCGTACATTTTTCATGATTAAATGTTTATCTGAGTACCACAGGGGATTTTATACTTCCTAATCCTGCTACTGGCCTCTAGGAGCAAGGTCCAGTGCAAGATTACACCACATTTCCCTATCTAGGTGGACAAAAGTGCAATAGGAGGTGTGGACTCACTACCCAAATCTGACCAGTACAACCCACCCTCCCAAGCTGCTTGTGATCCCCAACAGTTCCCAGCTCCAAATTTGAAAACTTCTGGCCTTGATGTTTAATAGTTTCACTTTTGCATGAATATCATACAGAGGGTGATCAGAACTGATATTAAAGGAAATACAGATAATCCTGGATTTAACAATCACAATTGAGCGAAAATTTCAGTTGCTAAGTGAAACATTCATTGAGTTTTGACTCATTTTACGACTTTTCTTGCCACAGTTAAGTGAATCACAGAAGTTGTTTCCTCATTGACTCTGCTTGTCAGAATGTTGCAAAAAGTGTCGACGTGACCCTGGGACACTGCAATTGTCATAAATATGAACCAGTTGCCAAACATCTGAATTTTGATCAGGTGACCATGGGGATGCTGCAACAGTCGTAAGTGTGAAAAATGGTCATAAATCACTTTATTCAGTGTCGTAGCGGTCACTAAGTGAACTGTTGTAACTCGAGGATTACCTGCATACGGTATATGGTTTAAACAGTGAGGTGACGGAAGATCAGTTATCCCAGGATAACCGAATGGCTGATCTTATAATTGCTGCGGAATAGATGGAGTTAGAAATTGATTCTCTTTTTAAAAAGTCTTTTGTAGACATTGCAAATTATTCTTGAGGTCTCCTGTAATCCAGTCAGCACAGGAAGGTTAAGAATATTGGCAGCACCTGAATTTGTTTTCAGGTTGTTGTGTTAAGGAGAAAGGTTAGAATGCCCAGGCAAAGAAATAACATTTGCACATATTTTGCATAAATACAATCATTTGCTAAAGGAAGAAGGTAAAGAAATTATTCATTTGGAACCTAAACCTAAGCTCAAGCAAATCTGTGCTTGAGAACCAAAATATTTATTTATTCCCTGTTGCAAAAATATGTTTTATAAAATTATAAATTGAGGACTAACTTCTTATCCCAATAATCTTCCAAAATAGCTTTTCTTCTGAGTTTAGAAATGACCTGGGAGAAATCCCACTGGACTTAATGCAACTAGATGTATATAGGAAAACATTATATACTAGTATAACATGGCTTTAGCTATATTACCCATAACTGTTTTGATTTTATGTATGCAAAGAGTGGGAAATTGACCAAAATCCATTAATATTATCCTGAAGCAAAATCTTTCAAGGATGTTAACCTTGTTTAGGATTTAAGATTAACAGAGGATTACAAAGAACTGTTGACCGAGGGAATAGGAACCACGACTTCCCTTGGCGGCTATGGACTGTTGAGCAGCTGTTGTGTTCCAAGTGCTCTATGGAGAGAGATGCTATAAAGCAGGCCCAAAGCTCTGAAACAGTAGCTAACCCTGCTTAGCAGCAGCCCATGCAAAGCTTGCTAATTTCCATGGCAGTGTCTCCTTGTCTAAATTCATTAGATATTCAATTTCACATGATGAATCAGGCCGAAATTATTTTCCTACCAAGAGGAGGTTCAGCAATTTCCCTGAAGCGGAAATAGGACAGTACAATAAAAAATGGGTAGAATTTTCTATAATCTCTTTGGAACAAGAGAAGAAGTACATATTATGTGAAAAATTGAGAAATTGGCCCTCTCTAGTTGCTGATGCCCTTTGCTGGAATTGTAGTCTTGCAAGGGCCTCTCGGAGGGACGGCATTCTCAGATTTTGGTTTTATGAAGTGTGTACCG